TACCCCTCATATATGTGCTGTTTTCAATACACTGATTTTTTAAATGGGGATACACACTTTTCCATAGGACAACATCTAGTTTCTATCTGTGTTTTAATTTCAGAACAAATGCTCATGGTGTTTGATTGCACAAGAATCCAGAAAATGGCCACAACATGTTGGAAACATCAACACCCGGGGCAGGGCAGGAGCCACTGGGGAATAACAGGCGTTCAACTTTCAGAAGGGCAAGAGTCTAGGGACCAGGTCTATCTCACAACTGGGCCAAAATATTTGTTTGCTGAATACCACAAAGAGTGACTAAGTGCTGGAAGTCTGGTTTTCCTCCCTGAGCAGGCAATGCCTCGTGAAAAGGAGTCACGGCAACAATGCAGGTGGCAGCTAGAATTTGAGGGAAGAATTTTTTCAGAGCCAATTTTTTTTTTTGAAACCTTAATAGGGAAAAAGGTTTTGTTTTGTTTAAAAAAAAAAATTAAAACAAACTAGGGAGAAACTAGAAGCACCTTATCTGAAACTCTCCAGCCCCACAAAAGAACACAAAACGCTCAAAATAGATTAGTCAGATGCGATTAAAGTTCTTGATACATTTCTTGGAAACATTTAAAAGGAAACAGAAAATTATATTAAGTACACCACAAATCCACGTCAAGAAACTCACTGCGAATATAGACATGAGCAAGGAAACAGGAGAAAAGGGATCGGTAGAAGGAGACAGAGAACAGTTGGTCAGAGATGGTAGAGAACCAGGCTTTAGAACAGGGTCATGTCAGGCAAGAGAACATATCAAGAAGGAAAAAATGGTACTGTCAAAAGCTCATCTGTAAAATGTTGGACCAGATGACTTTAAGTGTCACCCCAGCTCTAATATTTTGTGATTTAAGGCGTTTGCAACTCCAAGATCATAGATTTAGAACTGGTCCAAGCCCCCTCATGCTACAGATAGGAAACTGAGTCCCATAGCAGTTAAATGACTTGCCCAAGGTCACACAGGTAGTGACAGAGCTGAGATTCAAACCCAGGTCCTACGACTCCAAATCCGGCGCTTTTCCCACTGTGCCAAGCTGCCTTCTGTATTTCTGTTCAGTTTGGCAAACCGTCCAGTTCTTCAGGCCTTCGCATACCATTAAAGTTGCCCTACAGAACATTGTTTTTATAAGTCAGCTCCCAGATTGCTGCTTGCCAGGAACGAAAAGTGGTTGCACCCCCAATATGTCAGGATCTATAATGTTCAAAAGTCCAATTCCTCGTCGCTGATCCTTTTCCTTTTCAAAAGAGAAAGGCCCCTCCTCGATGTCTCTCCACCACGGTCCTCTCTACCCTCCATTTTTTTTTTTTTTCTTTTCAGGCAGACATCAGTGCATGAGTCGCTGTACTCTGCTTACCCACGGGAGGCTCCTCCCCAGCAGGAGATGAAAGCCCAAGCAGCCTTCAGAGAGCCAAAAGGGAAAGGCCTGAGCCGTCTATGGAATGCGTTTGCACAACGTTCACAGAGGAATTTATAAATGCCTTTGGTTACAAATGGTCAGATAGCCATCTAACGCACACAGGAAAAACAACAATAATAAAATGGAGCCAGGGTCAAGTTCAAAAAAACGGAAGTGACGGAGGGGAATCATCCTGACGAATCCCTGGGCGCCTCCTGTTTGTGTAGGGCAAAGGGTGGGGCCAGCTGTATCCCTGGGGTTGCTGAAATGCTCCAACACATCACTCCAGGACGTGGGCCATGGTCAGGTTTCCTAAACAAGCTACACACAACCAAGAGAGGGGCCAAGCCTGAAACTTGGCATTGTGTGCCCTGATTGTCTATGGACAACCTGAGCCCAAGCTATGGGCCAGAAGGTAGAGTAAGTGGGAGAAAGAACCCTAGGCGTGCATGCAACCTAGAGAGAGACCTGGGTTCAAGTCCCTTCTCTGACACTCATTACCCAGTGTGGTCTCAGTGGAACAAGGCATTTCCCTTTAGAGTTCTAGTCTTTCTTTCTCTATAAAATGGGAATAAGACTGCTTCAAACTATCTACTTCACAGGACTGCTGCGAAGAAAATGCTTATAAATGTGATCTATTACTATTACCCTCCATATTGCCCCATAGGCTATTTAATGCTTCTCACAATTTAATTAATATATAACTTGATAACTCCTATTTATGGGAAGAAGAGGGGGAAAAGTCTTAAAAGGCAAAAAAAAAAATTCTACTGACTACATTGTCATGAATCCAAATCTTCTGCAAGATGAAAAATTAAAAACCACGTTGTCCCACTGTGCGGTTGCTAGAAATATGGCAGGGAGAGCAGATGATGGTCTTTCTTGGAAGAGTACCAATAATACTTCAAGCTTTGCTTGCTGATTCTGGCATGCTCTGACCCTGCTCATAAACTATATTAGGACAGGACCTAGGAGATGACAAAAGAGTGCCTGAGCAGGAGTTGGGAGGCCTGAGTGAGAGGCGGCCTGATTCTGCCACTAACTGTAGGACCTTGGGCAGCTCACTGAGCCTCACTCTCCTCAGGAATAAAATGTGGGAGCTGAGCTAGAATGATTGCTAAAATTCGGTGGTTCCTTATTGTGTTGTTTCGCGTGATCAGTGGCCACTGCCCCAATTTTCTCAAAATATTCCTCTTTTCCCTCCAAGCAATATATCTTTTATCCTGGGGAAGGAAGGAAGAATGAGCCTCTTCTTTAACTCTCTCTCTCCATCAAAGTCCTTTTCTGTGCCGGTCGGGCCGTGCACTCTCCTTCTAACAGGAGCAGGCTGCCAGGGTCATACTCACCGGTCCTCGGAGCCCACCCGGATAAACACAGAGATGAGCCGTTCAGGAGGTGCAAGCACTCGAACTTTATTCAGGGACCATCACAGCAAGGCCAAGCAGGAAA